TATTTTCTAATGATCCTATGGATTTCAGAAGTGTCTGTGGTGCTATCTCTATTTTCATCTCCAAGTTTATTTATTTGGGTCTTCTCTTTCTTTTGGATAGTTTGGTTAAGCATTTACCAATTTTATTTATCTTTCAAAGAACCAACTCTTCATTGTCTTGTTAATGGATATTGTTTTCTATACTCAATTTTGTCTCTGATCTTCATTATTTCCTGTCTTCTACTAATTTTGGAATTAGTTTATTCTTCCTTTTCTAAGGCCTTGAAGTGGAACATGAGCTTATTTATTTGAGAATATATTTTTTAATGTAGGTACTCAATGCTATAAATTTTCCTTTTAGAACTCCCCAGAGATTTTGATATGTCATAACTTTGTTCTCATTTATTTCTAAGAATTTCTTGGTTTCTTATCTCATTTCTTCTTTGACCCATTCTTTATTTAAAAAAGTTTTGGTCAATTTCCATGTGTTTATGTAGTTTCCATTATTTTTCTTGCTGTTGATTTCTGGTTTCTTTCCATTATGATCCGATAAAATGCACAAGATTATTTTGACTTTTTTGGATTTTCTAAGATTTACATTGTGACCTAGAACATAATCTATTTTGGAAAAGTTTCCATGAATTGCTAAGAAGAGAAATCCAGCTGTTTGGGGGGTAAAATATTCTGTGGATGTCTCTTAAGTCCATTTGATTTATAGTATTATTTAATTTGGAAATATATTTATCAATCTTATATTTTGATGATCTATTAGTGATAAGTGTGTGTTGAAATCACCCATTATTATTGTATTAGAATCTATCTGATATATTTTTTAAAAAAATATTTATTTATTTATTTTTAAGGTGTAGATGGACACAACACAATGTCTTTATTTTTATGTGGTGCTGAGGATCGAACCCGGGTCCTGCCCATGCTAGGTGAGTGCCCTACCACTGAGCCACAATCCCAGCCCCTGACATATATATTTAAATATAGTTTTTTTTTGTTCTTTGTTAGAGTCCAACTCCAGCAGGGGGTCTCAGGAGATGAATGGATGGTGAGGAGTCTGAGAAAGGCGGCGGAGAAACAACACAGACACTAGAGTGAAGGTGCTAATTCTGATTCTTTACTTGTGAAGTTAATCATATATACTTTTCATTTTGGCAGGCTAACAGTATTTTGTGGTTACAAAACAAGAAACATTATTCAAGGAAACAAAATTTTACGTAGCTACAGTTAGATAAGAAGAATGTATCTTGGCTTATGCATAAGCAAGCATTTTTACTTTCAGTTCGAGTTTTTCCTTGAACTGTTTCTACTTAGTTAGCTTTTAATAATAGTTAGAAATGTCCCAGACTATTGACCTATACCTTGACTATTCTTTCTTGACTTCTGACTAGAACCAGTGCCACGAATATGGCAAGYGGTTAACTTGAAAAGAGAGGCTACTAATTTTAATCAATCAAGAGGAAGAGCATCAAACCATTGTGCACAAGAACGAGAACAAGTTGCCCAGTACCAAGCACTAATCTGTCTTCTTAATATTAATTTTTCTTCTCTAGATTTTAATTTAATTTCTCAAAAATTTCCTTGACAAGGGAGAGAAATGAATTACAGTAGATGGGGTAGAGAGAGAAGATGGGGAGGGAGGGGAGGGGGGATAGTAGAGGATAGGAAAGGTAGCAGAATACAACGTCACTAGAATGGCAATATGTAAAAACGTGGATGTGTAACCGATGTGATTCTGCAATCTGTATACGGGGTAAAAATGGGAGTTCATAACCCACTTGAATCAAATGTATGAAATATGATATGTCAAGAGCTTTGTAATGTTTTGAACAAACAATAATAAAAAAAAATTTCCTTGACTGTTTTTTCTACAGGAGGTTTCTCATTAAACATTAACAATTTATGTTCCACAGCTGAATCATTGCATTTATAACAAACAGATCTATTCATGTTTTTTCCTTCATGCTTCATGGTCMTATGAGAAGTCGCAACTATACTTATTAACAGGAATACAAAAACAAACCAGCCCATTCTCAGAAACATGCTGCGCTCCTCCAGAGGATGGACACCTTATGCCATCCACCTCAGTAGGGCCTTGCCTTTGCCTGAGTCAGGGGAGGGGTGCAACAGTTGTTGTTGTTTTTTAATATTTATTTTTTAGGTGTAGATGGACACAACACAATGCCTTTATTTTTATGTGGTGCTGAGGATCGAACCTGGGTCCCACCCGTGCTAGGGGAGCGCTCTATCGCTGAGCCACAACCCCAGCCCTCTATCTGATATTTAATGTCAAGAGGTATTGTATTTATGTAATTGGGGGTACTGACATTTGGAGTATATATTTGCATGTTTATATCTTCTTGTTGGATTATTCACTTCTGACTTCTCAACTCAGATTCTAAAATCAAAGAAGGCCAGAAATGAGATATTCCAAGCTCTAAAATAAAGCAATTGTCATTTTTTTTTGCTTGAAATCTGCATCATCAGATATAAGAAAGTTACTTCAGCTTGTTTTTGGGCTGTATTTGCATGGAACATTTTTTTCATCTTTTTACCTTTAGCCTTCCAATGTCTTTGTCTATGAGATGAATCTCTTGCAAACAGCTTATAGTTGCATCTTGTTTTTTGATCCAGCAAATAGCTTATAATTGCATCTTGTTTTTTTGATCCATTCTGCTAATCTCTGTCTTTTAATTGGAAAGTTGAGACAATTCATATTCAGTGTTTGTGATTTCCTGTCATTTTGATTTTTTTGATATATTTAATATTTAATCATATCTTGATTCTCATTTGGTTGATTATTCTTCTATTGATCTTTCTCTACTTAGGAGTTTTGGGATTTCTTTTGGTTTTGATTTCCTCCCTCTGCAGTTTATCTTTAAGTATTCTTTTTAGTACTGGCAGGTTGTTCATGAATCTTTTTAGTTTGTTTTTGTAAAGAAAATATTTTATCCCCACTGAATTTGAAAGAGAGCTTTGCTGGATATAGAAATCTTGATTGGCAATTGTTTTCTTTTAGAGCTTAGAACATCTCTTATTCTTGGCCTTCTTTGGTTTTTGGGTTTGAGTTGAGAAGTCAGAAGTGAGCTTTGTTGGTTTGMCTCTAAATGTGACRATGTTTCTGTTTTGCAGCTTTTAATATTATTTTCTTATTTTCTGCATTCGTCATTTTGATTATGATATGTCTTGGTGAGCTGAGCTTCTTTTCTGATTTGGTCTATTTGGAATCCTGTACGTTTCCTATATGTGGATGTCTTTCTCATTTCTGATATGGCAAAAGTTTTCTGTTACTATCACAATGAAAGTATTCTGAATACTTTTAGCCTGTATCTCTGTATTCTTCTCTATCCCAATGATTCTCTGGTTTGGTCTCTTGATGTTATCCCAGAGTTCTTCTATATTCTGATAATGTTCTATCATTTTTCATCCTTTATTGCATACCGTGTACTCAAGTGAATTTTCAACAAATCAAAGTGGAAGGTGAAAAAATGCCTGAAATATTTTGAAAAATTTATCAGAGGTGAGGCAGAAGATAGCAGATGTAAACTGTAAAGAAGAAATAGAAAATTAATTGAAATAATGAAACAATAAAGAGAGAAAGAAGGAATAGAAAAATTTGTGTGTTAGTGGGGGAATAGAGTGAAGAAGGAGAGATAGGAGGGAAAAGAAGCTAATCATGAACAAATGAGCAAGTGTAGGATCCAAATAACTTTAATCCTTGTATAATTATACTCCACCTAAGTCAATTCAAGTCTAAATAATTATAAAATGCAGAAGAAAGTTATCAGTGTAAAAGTAAAACTATATGATATATATATGACATATTTTTTCAACCCACCTACACAAAAAGAACTCTCTCTCTCTCTCTCTCTCTCTCTCTCACACACACACACACACACACACACACACACAAAATCATGCATATGGAAAAAGTAAAAATAATACAATACAAAGCAATGATATTTGAAGAAATTTGGAAAGTTAAAATTTTAAAAATGAATAAAAAATAAATAAAGGGAATACAGAGAAAACAAGAAATACGCAAAAATGAAAAAAAGAAGAAAAGACTCTTAAAAATATATATATTTTTAAGTTGTAGATGAACACAATACCTTTTATTTTATTTATTTATTTTTATGTGGTGTTGAGGCTTGAACTCAGTGTCTCACATGTGCTAGGCAAGAATTATGCCAATGAATTACAATCCCAGCCCCAGAAAAGAATATTTTTTATTTTATTTATTTTTTTAGAAAAGAATATTTTTTTAAAAATTTTCTATTTGTTCTTTTTAGTTATATACAACAGTAGAATGCATTTTGAGATATCATTCATACATAGAGTCTAGCTTCCCATTTTTGTAGTTGTATATCATATGGAATGAAACTGCTTATGCATACATATATGAACATAGGAATGTTATATCCAATTTAATTCTTGTCTTTCCCATTCCTATCCCTTCTCTACTCCCCTCTGTCCAATTTGGTGAACCTCTACCCCACTTCCCCCATTGTGAGTCAGTATTTGTATATTAGAGAGAACATTTGGCCTTTGTTTTCTGGGGATTGACTTATTTCGCTTAGCATAATAGTCTCMAGTTCCATCCATTTACTCACAAATGCTATAATTTCATTCTTCTTTATGGCCGAGTAGTATTCCATTGTGTATATGTATCACATTTTCTTTATTCATTCCCTAAGTTGGCTCCATAACTTAGCTGYTGTGAATTGAGCTGTTGTGAACATTGATGTGGCTGTGTCACTGTACTATGCCAATTTTAGGTCCTTGGTATACAGACTGAGGAGTGGGATAACTGGGCCAAATGGTGGTTCCATTCTAAGTTTTCTGAGGAATCTCCTACTTCTTTMCAGAATGGTTGTGCCAATTTGCAGTCTGACCAGCAGTGTATGAGTGTACCTTTGTCCCCACATCCTCTTCAGTATTTATTGTTACTTGTATTCTTGATAATTGTCATTCTAACTGGAGTGAGATGAAATCTCAGTGTAGTTTTAGTTTGCATTTCAGAAAAGACTTTTTTTATAGAGTTTTCACTCATTTTGTTCWGCTTCCAAGGAATGTTTTTGTGGGAGTCATCATGGATCAACATAGTATTTCTTAATAATATGTTTCTGACTTTCTGAGTCTTTAGAGTTCCTTTTGTAGTCCAGTATTAAATTTCAGTGAATTCCCTTTGTTACTCACCTCTGTGAGGAGCAGTCTGTCACTGTAAATATGGTGCTGAGAAACTGCTGGGATTGTGCCCTCCCTTGAATCTGCCATCTGCTGCCCTCTCACTAACTGTAATGTTTACTGCTTGGTTGTGCTATGGCAGTGTGATAGGCTGCCAAGAGACAAATAAGGACACTTGGAGGTGGGATATGTGATGTAAGGTTCATTGAGAAATGCTTATGTGGAAGATCTAGTGGCAACGGCTAGATATATATTTCAACAGACAGTGGGCCACCAATTTGTACTTCTGCTCCATGTTGTACCTCCAGTACCTTGCCAGAAAGCCCAATAGCAATGCACTAGACAGGTGTGTCTCTGGTATTTTTCCAGAAAGTCCAGGGAGACCACCTGGATGAGCACTTCCCTCTCTATGGTATTCTGATCCACCCCAGTTACAGCAGGAAGAGGGGTTTTATAAGTTAGGCTATAGAAGCAGTGACAATAATTTGCTTAGTTTCCTTTGTTCCTTGTATGACTAGTATCCCAAGGAGCAGCTGCCCTAGTGTACATGTAAGAAAGTAGCTTTCTGTAGATAAGACTAACCTGCTCTTATTTCCAGAATATATGAGAGAAAGCCAGAGTCCTTCCATGTGTATCTAGACATTGTGGCTCACACCCACTTTCATTGTGCACTTAACTTGGTTAGTTTGTTTTGGGAATGGAAAGGGCATTTAGGGATATGGTGTTTTGTTTTTAACTTTTCTTTAGGAGCAACACACTGATAAGTTTTGTAATATAGAGCTAACAAAAGCTCATTATACTAGTAAACTTTTGTGGGAAAATCATACGTCTGTATTTTATTTAATGCTAAAAATGCTTTAGACATGCCTGATTTACTCAAACCAACAATATTCTTATTTTCCAAAGGTTACTCAAGTCATGTGAATTTGAATAGCATTTGGGTTATGTATTAGTGAACTATTTGTCATAACGAAGCATTGGCTACAGTTAACTTTACAAGAGGTTTATTTAAGTTCACTTTTGGCGGTTCAAGAACATGGTACTTCCATTAGCTCAGTTCTGGTGGGATCTGTCACATCATGTCAGAGAGGAATAGTGGGAGTATATATGAGAGTGTGGTCACATCTTGAGTCAGGAAGTAGAGAGAGCTGAGTGGGGTCAAACTTGCTCCTTTCATAACCACGCTTTTTGCAAGTGCTACTTAAGAAGTCACATTAGAAAATATCTCATGGATCCAGTGATTGAAGGACATGGTACTAGACCTCCCCCCCATTTCTTAAAGGTTCTACCACTTCCTAATACCATCACTCTGGGAACCAAGCCTCTAATTACGTGAACCTTTGTGGAGACACAATTAAACCATATCAAAACCATAGCAGGTTTAGTTCTTAATTTTCTGAAAGAATGTTTTATTAGTATAAGCACTATTTTTCTTTAGTTCAATAAAACAGCACTCTTTCACAATTTATTTTTGACAATTTTATAAGGAGGTAGGAAAATATCACACATACATATCATTCATCTAGATATACATAAGCATATAATCAGAAACAGATCTTATTACTTTCATTTAAAATTTTTAGTCATATGTYGGGTACATTAACACAAAACTCATTAATTTGTCAAAGTATATCTGATTCAAATTTTTTTTTGATCAAATGAATAGGATTTCCTTCCCAGATGGCTAAAGCTTTTGAATATTTGTTAGAAAAGTTTTTAAGATTTTAAAAAATAATTTTCCTCCTGTAAGTATTTTTTTTCAAAGATGCAATCTTTGTTTCATTTACTCTTTTAGATGCCTTTTTGTATCAAATAAAGAATGCATCTCATTGATTTTATGGCATTTTAGATCCTGTTTGTCTTTTGTTAAATTACTTTATTGTCATATGATAATTATGGTGGAATAAAGATCATTAAAATTTAACAATAAAATAAATAAAACATAAAACTATTCTAAAATGGTGGTGCAGTTGTGATTATACACATACATTGTATCTGCACTAAAACTTTGTATGATTGCATTCTTTGGACTTAATCTTAAGTAATAAAGTTTGGCACTTTGATATGACAAGTACGTAGTTTAAATAAACAGGTAGAAAAATTTAAATTACAAAAATATTTGAGTGTGTAAACTATACAAGGAATTTTCTGAATGTTGTTGTGGTAAGATGTGAGGCAAAGATAATATGATTATGGGTAAATAAGATCCCCAAACTGAAAACTGTCCATTGAAGGGCATACAGGCAAATGGGTTCATTTCAATGGTCTGTAGTTTGAGTTAGATAAGAAATTTTAAGAGGCAGTTGTTTTGCCACAGCAGGAAGAATATGCTTATCTTTTCTTTAAAATTATCAGCAATTCGTTGTAAGTGAATGTTGTGCTCAAAGGTCAAGGTAGATTTTTCCTACACATGTGATGTTTTACCCACCTTTGGCTGTTATTACAGAGTACCCCCAGATTCAATGTATCTTTTATCAGCTTACGTTCTAATAATGTAACAAAGTTGGCCATTTGTAATGTTTTTAAAAATGTTCTGCTAAAAGAAGATGAAACACGTTTGAGAGAAGTGTAGATATATTGTTTTTCCATGGAAAGACCTCAGGAAAAACAATTATCGAAAAGTCTGTCTTGTTTTTCAAACTGAGGATGATGCAAAATTCTTGAAGCCAATTCATTTGAAATACAGCCTCAATTCAGAAATTGGAGACAAGTATCTACATGCTTGTACTTTCTAAGGTCAAGGTGCAAGTCTTCCTTACATGTAAATGTTCTTTGCATATTTCTTTTGGTTAGTCTTGAAAAGTATTAACTTATGTCCACAAAATTTGCATGTTCCCATCCATTTAGTTATATGTGTATCTCTCTTTCCTGACATCTTTATTTTCTTCTTCTATTTCCATGAGCTTCTCATCCTTTGGTTCCAGAGACACACAAGAACCAATAACTTCATTATATTTCACAACACAAAAATCATATATTATTGAAAAATGATTACCATTGTTAGTTAATTACTTTGAATACAGAAAAATGTGCATTTATTTAAACTGCTTTGACGATTTTCTTCCAAGTTGATATATTTTTAATGATAATTCATACAGTGACAAAAATGAATTCATTTCCTTCTATCTTTCAACTTGTAATTTCTTGTGACTTGCCCAATACTATCAATGAAAATGCCATCTGACCAGGATTCAAGACTTAAAATCATGTACTGTTTTTTCTCCCTCACTTTTTGTTTTCTTCAGATTCCAGTAGAACTAAAATAAGCCATTCAAACTTGAATTTATCCCATGCATTTGCTATTATCTGTTGATATCATTTAGAAATACTCCCAAGTAGAAATATTCCCTTATGTTGATGGCTCTCTAGTCCTCATCTACATTGTGCCTTCTCACTTTATTACCTTTCTTTTAGAGACAGCCTTTCCAGCTAAATAAACTATTGCAATGTCCAATTTAATTTTTGTTATAGTTTAACATTAAGATTCTCTCTGGCTCAATAGTTCTATTCTTATTTTCTATTTACAACACTCTTTAAACTGACTTTCCTGCTTCTAGACTTGAACTCCTCCAGACTAGTATTCACATGCATCCAGAAGCTTAAATTTATTCATAGCACTCTACCACTTAAGGTATGGCTCAAATTCTCCACTTCTACAGGATATATTTCAGATTCTTCAGTATGGCATTCAGAGCCCACCATGATCTGACTTTTACTTCCTTTCCAGTCCTCACTAAACTTGAGTACCTTTTCTTTCTGCCTCACTTTGCATAGTACACTCCAGACATGATAATTTACTTATAGAGAGCCCAGACAGCTTCACAAATTTCCTTTTCTTTTCCTGCAATATTATTCTGTTTATCTTGCAAATATAAACTCAAATTCCAGTTTCTTTGAAATGTTTCCTAGACTACCTTCCTACTTGAAGGCTGGACTTCTTTCAAAGGACCTGTAACACCTTAAAGCATTAACAGGTGTATTAAAAGTTCATGTGGCAGAAATTACACATTAACTCCCTCAGTCTTCACATATTTTCTGACCTGTCTTGTTAAAGACATTGGAAACAAGAAACTGCGTTAGATGCTTTAGATGTGTAAAAATCTCCACCAACTAGACTATCTTATGAGAACTCAGAAGTCAAATGTTTTCTTTTTCCTTTCCTTTCCCTGTCCTTACCCTTCCTCCCTATCTTCCTCCTTTAAAAAAACTATTTTGCTAATAGCATGCAGGGTGTGGGATGTGAGTATTTAGATTCAATGACCAGCCTCAACATTCTACCTTAAGGAAGCCATCCTCATGGGTAACTGGAGACAGTGTAGCAGTGCATCAGTAGAGTGCTGCCCTCTGTCCTGCAGCTTCATGATGTGAGCCTGAATTCAATAGTCTGGTGATGGGCCACTAGTTTTGGCTCTTCTATGCCTCCCAGAGTTTTTAGAGATGCCTATTTCCCTGCAGTACATATCTTATAGTCTGACATGCCTGAGATGGTTTAGGTTTCCTACCCTGAAGTCTGATTCAGTTTGCTTCATTTAAACTGTAACTCCTTTGAAAATAGGAATAAGGTTTTTAAAAAATTATAGGGTTGATAAACTATAGTTGTATGAATTTATGGGGTACAAAAGGTATTTTTGAACACAATGTGGAATGATTAAATCAAACTAATTAACATATCATATCACATTTAACTTTTTTTGTGATGAGAACATTTGAAACTAAACTCAGTGATGTTGAAATATACAGTATTGTGTTATTTGTATTCATCATGTTGTGCAATTGACCCCAAAAAATCATATGTATTCGTCTAACAGGCTTTGTACATTTATTTATTATCTCTATCCACCCTCCTCCCAACATGTATAAACCATCATTTTTATTCTCTGGTTCTATGAGCACAATTGTTTTAGATTCCATAT